GCATCCCATTTATTTTCTGGGCTAGTAATTTATATTATCTCAGATACTCCTCACATGGAACTTCAGGGTTCAAACAGTTTAGCTAAAATATGTATAAGGGAGAAATTATGTGTTTCGTGTGAGCTAAACATCTTTGATCCCTGGTACCTGAGCCACGGTATATAATAAATTACACCTTCATCTTCATAATCATCAGCCAAAGCAGTTGGGTTCCCAGAGAGGCTTCAGTTTGGTTCTGCCTCCCAACTCTGCCTCAGAGTTGGAGCTGAAATAGGAACCTCTTGAAAGGCAAATCCTTGGGGAATATTAGAACTAAATTGCATCAGCTGTTAGCTGTGGCACAGGGAAGGAAAATTCATGCTCCTATTAAAAATGAGCTGGAATCATAGACTTCCTCATTGATTGGGCTCATACATGATAAAGGGGTTTAATCACCTACATTGTAAAAGGAATACTTTGGCATCATTTGATATTAAGCAAACAAATTTTCACTGAAGGATGCCTTATAAATGGAAGTATGTGTATAAATGTGAGTGAGTGTGTGTGTGTGTGTGTGTGTGTGTGTACGTGTGTTGGTACTGGGCATTGAACCCACCTGTACACTGAGCTACATGCTCAGACTAATTTGAATTTATTTTTTAAATTTTGAGACAAAGTCTCAGTGAGTTGTTAAGTTACCCTGCCTAGACTTGAACTTGTGATCTTCCTGGCTCAGTCTTCTAAATGTGGAATTACAGGTGTGCTCCATGCCTGAAATATTGTTCATATGTATAATCATCCTTTAATATTTGTGGGATACCCCTGAGGTTACCAAAATCCACACATGCTCAAATTTTTCTATGCAGTGGCATAATATTTGCATAGAATCTATGTACCCTCATCATATATCTTAAATCATCTCTAGATTCCTCATAATACCTAATAAAGCTATACATGTTCTATAAATAGTTGTTGCAATGTATTATTTAGGGAATAATGACAAGGAAAAAGTTTGTTCAATATTGCATAATTTTTTCAAATGTTTTGCAGTATTACTACCTCACATTAATATATCTTCATTAATGTCTATTATATATGTGATATATATGGCTGTATCTCTAGCCATCCATCTATTCATCTATATTTTCTTTCCAATTGATGCTGATCAGTACAAATTCTCTCTAAACTAGTTAAAAACCCAGAGTTAATTTCTTTATACCAGCTGCTGGGAGCTAGAAGTTTTACAAGATTCAGTATTATGTTAGTGGATGTTTAGTTAGTGAGATAAATGGAGAAATATGGTTTTATCTGTGATCAGTTGTAGTGGATAAAGAAATAGCGACAGCCTTATTAATTACCAGTATCTAACTCTACTCCATCACCAGGACCATGTCTTTCCTTTTTCCTCATCCTGAATCTGTAATAACTCATCATTTTCTTCTGCTGGTCTTCACACTGACTTTCATATTTTCTGCTGCTCTGGAATACTTCATGATTTCAGACATCAGTCAGTGTGCTCAAGTTTGAGCCACCATTTAAATTGATTTCTTCTCTCAGATTTTTAACAGTTCCTACAATAGAGTTGGATAAGTTTCACTTATGACATGGTACATAGAAATGGAATCAGCCTTTCTTCATATGGGTTAGCTGGAATTTAGAGCAAGACTGTTCTTTGCTCTGCCTTGTAAGAGGCCTGGCATAATTACAGTCCGCAGTATAGTCCATAAAATATACATGTGCAGAAACATTGCCACCCTTGAATGCCCAGCCTGTGAAATGCATTAATGGGAGTTATTGAATTTAATAAATGACTGTTGAGATATGCATCTTTCTGGTCTGGTCGTATTTAAAATTAGCTGTTTCTGGATATTTGCAAGTTTTTTCTTTAACGGTATTTTTGACAAAATTGCAAATCAAGATTTAACTCAAACTGATACTGACCTGGAAAGTTTCATCTATCCAATTTGCCTTTTGCCACATTCTGAATTTCAATAGGCTTCAACTTTCTTGGGCCAGAACAAGGTCAGATGTAAAGGCTGTTAAAATCCTGCACTTTGCTGGTATCTGGCCTGAATTCTGAAGTCTGCATAGCAAGAACACAATTTCATATATTTTCACCATGCTTTAGGGTGGTGAGGGGAACAGGCACACTTCTTCCTACAGTGGAGGCAGAATTGACAACAAAACACATATTCTGTATGTTTCTATTTAAATAGAAAGTCAGAGAAAAGGCTAGCTAGTGGCTCTTGGATGTTGGGCTGTAGAGAAATGACTCACCTTGGCATTGATAGAATGTTGTTCAGGACTGTAGATGGTTGCTCTTGTGTCCCTGAAGGATCCTGATTATTAGATGGGGTGCAAAAAATGAGCAAATTCTCAGGAAGTGAAGCTCTGCATGAGGCATTCTTTTATCTTTGGCTTTTTGCACATGAATTCAGATGCTACCTCACCAGATATCCTCCCAGACATGAGTGACTTAATGGAAGCAGCCCCAGCCTATCTAAACTTACTGTGTGCCTAATAAGTGTGGCACAGTATTTATGAGTACTACTGCATCTCACTCTTTGCTGGTGACACAACAGTGACTGTTATAAGCCCTCTTTCCCAGTGCTCATTGGCCATCCCCCGGTGGGTTCTGCCCCGTAGAGTACTTTTTGCATAATTTACCGTCTTGGCCCTGATTGGGGGTTTTCTATCAGCTATAACCAAAGCTATAACAAAGGTGTTATCAGCTCCTGGTTCATTAGGTTCTGCTTTGACAGTCTACTTTCCAAAGGCAGAGTAGAAGCAATCAGATACAGGATATAATTTTCTTTCTCTGCTTGGCCTTGCTGGTCAAGGGGCTGTTTGAAGGACTTACTTTGCATAATGAATTTTCATTCAAGGTGTCCTTTCACATTTTGCAGTAATTATTATATTTGCAACGAGTTTTAATTATTCTAATGCAGATGTCTGCTTTTAGAGGCTTTGCTCTTAAAACTGTGATTTTCCTTAAGAAATATGTAAAAATGGTAATTATAGTTAACCTGGAAAAGTGACAAGGTCCAGAATAATGCTTCATGTCCCATCCAAGTTATGAAATATGTTGAAAGCATTAGGAATGGTCCATTCTTGAGACTTGTTAAAACCTTTCTTTGACATCAAAGAGAATGGGGCATGTGAAATTAAAGTAAAGGGACTCTGGCTCCAGTCCTTCCCTGTTGGACACACATCTTAAGCTTCCAAGGGCTTCCCTGCTCTATAACAGCATGTACAAGTAGAAATTATTTTACAAGATTCCACTTGGCCAGTGGACACAGTGCTGTCCTCTGCATGGGGAGAGAACACTGATGAAACACAGTAAGAAGGATGCATATACTATTTGTTACTTTTTCCCTCTGTGGTAACAATGAGGTCATCTTGGGCTATCTCTCTTTTTACCTTTGTAACAACAGATTCAGCCAGTGATACAGTTGTGTAACGCTAAGGTTATACTGGCCATCAATCGAGAAATCAAGTGGTAAATTTCCTAATCCTAACCCTAACCTCTTAACCTCAAACTCATTTAACACTGGCTGCCTAGTTTTAGACAGCAAAATTCCAAAACATTCAGATTGTGTTTAAAATAATAAAGGGAGAGGGATATTGCAGAAAGATTTTTTTAAACCTTCTCAGTGGTGTCTCATGGTGTGGACACCAACAGCTCCCTAACCAGTTGGGTCCAAGGCTAGTGTAAGGCCATAACATTACAGCCAGAGCAAAGTGGGCCAATTCCTTAGATTTAAAAATAGTTTATTGCTGATTTTCTAGGATCCAGAGGAATCCGTTCATGTTTATTCATGCTCTGGAAAGTGAAATCATTGGCCAAGAAGCAAAATGTTCTGATTTTACCTTAAATCCAGTTTCCTAAAATCTATTTAAGGGCTTAGGTGAACTCAACCAGGATCTAATAAAGCCAGGTAATTGCATAGCACAGAGGCCGATAACATTCACAGGAGATTTTACTGGAGATAAACTGCAGCAGGAGACAGCATAGACAATAATTTAAACTAATTGTGCACTTTGATGTACATTAACTTCTCCAGAAGAGACATAGAGGCCTAATTTTGGACAGCTTTGCGGAAATGTCTGCAACATGCTGAGTTTCTTGCCAAAAGCCTCACATTATATAAATTGCATATTAAAAAGAGACCAATACCCTAAAGGCGTGGGGATGATGCGCAGGAATGACAGATGCCTCTTCTGCAGGCAAACTGCTCAATTTTGTTGACTGTGTTTTCTCTCTCTGTGTGTGTGTGTGTGTGTGTGTGTGTGTGTGTGCGCAATGCATGCACAGAAGAAATAACAAGGACTCAGTGGAGATTTGGAAGGACAGGGCTGTTAAAGCAGGAAAGAGGTTAATTTAACTATGATGAGCGGCCTAGGTAATTGCATGGTAGTGAGTCCCCCAGCCTCAGACCATCAACTGATGCACCGTACATGCAAAAACACATGGCAATGTATAGACCAGCTAGCCAGTTCTTGTTTTACATCCTTCTCAATACACAGAGGGATGGTATATAGCTAAATGTATGGCAATGGTTATTTCTAACATTTGAATGACCCTCTGTTTTTATGCTGTGAGTGTTGGACAACTGGAATTTTGCACCATGAGATACATGTCTGCATGTAAAAGACATGTTGACATTTGAGTTATCAGCAGTTACAAACATAGAGGCTTAATCATAGGTGAAAGCAGCCAGGCATCACTATGGTATAATTGATAGTAAACATCTTGCACTCACTTTAAAAGTGTCTGGATTTATGTCAAACCAAGAAGCACAGTGCACTTTCCAATGCTTAATGCATAGAATTTGAATGACAAGAACTTGCAAAGTAAATAGATATTTTTGATTGCACATTAATACCAGTTTGTGAAAAGATTTCTAAGCCAAATATTTTCCTTTGTGTTTGGGAAATGGGAAGAAAGACAAGTTTTTATATAGTTATGTGAGAAGCCTCCTGAAATCTGACCTTTATTTTATATTTTTTTCCTTTTGTAGGATGATTATTTCAGAAACTGGAATCCCAAAAAGCCCTTTGACCAAGGTAAAAGATGCAACGTTTCTTGCTGTGTAGTCTAAAAGAAATGCTGTCTCATTTTTATTTCTTTGTGCTCCAAGTTAATTCTCCTAGAAAAGCCTAGTAGCTGCCCTGTTTTATTGACTTTGGGGACTGAATGGAGTAGAGTGATAGAAATTATTTTATAAAATTGGATCTGTCTGAGGTTATGTCTAGGACAGGTTTAAACAATTTTTAAATTGAACTGACTGTACAATTATTGATTTTATTTAAAAACTAGTGAGATGATTTTCAGACTAACCTGGTGAATTATAGGGCTGAATCCAGCATTTTTATTCACAGAGCATACTGTGCCTAGAGTTACTCCCCAAATCACATAAACCATAATAATGGAATCTTTTTTTCTTTAAAAAAAAAGGTTAATTCAGGGATATTTTAATGGACAATGATGTTTACTTTGTTAAAAAACAAAACAAAACAAAACTTCTTCGTGGTTATTATGATTATTATATAAGCTTATTTCAATATTTCAATATTGACTCAGTGACCCCCTGGGGTTAAGCCTGGTTCTCAGAGGCTTTTTCAACCCAGCCCAGCAAGCACAGACTCAAAAAGGCTATCATAAATCACTCACTGTGCGCTCATGTGTTATTTAAGAGGCAGGGAAGACCTGCTAGGAATCCTGTTTGTCTTCTCATCATTCCGTGCAGGGCTTCTCTTGGCACAGACTCTGCTGCTGAAAATGATGGTAGATCGTACTTGATTTCCATGTTTGTAATTAATTCTGAAACTGATGAAGAACACTCTTTCAGGTGGCAAAGTGCTTGTGCTTTTCAGAATCAGCTTCAGTTTCAAGCTTTGAATATTCTGTGTGATTATGGTGGTTAACTCAGAGGGAGGCATTGACCATCATGTTATGCAGAACGCCCGCCCCTTTCTGCCTTTGGCTCTGTCACTTTCGTGGGTCATTCCCTATGGACACTTGTTTCCTTATCAGCAAACTTGGTATTACATTTTTCACATATGCATTTATCCTGCACCTCAAAGTAGCATAACGTTTTGCTTTCCTACATTTTAAAACATTTATTGAGCTGCCACTGTTTGCACAAGTGGCAAGCCAGGTACTGAGGAGAGAGTAAGGAAGCCGTGGCGGCCACCATAGAAGCATTCTGAGTGGCGAGCGGGGAGAGAAGTCAGCCAGTAATTGCAGGGGATGTGTAAATGAGAAGCATGTGAATGGGCATGGGAGGCAGCGTGTGCAGGAAAGCTCGCATTTAGACCACACATGTCCTAGCTTTCTTGGGCCTCACTGCTGTATGATTCCAATAATGGCTGACTCATCACTATAATTTACATTAAAGTATAGGAAGGCATTGGTAATTTAAGTTAGGAAATTCCTATGAAAATGATCAAAATTTTAAAAATGTTTTAGGGCATAAAACTTCATTTGGGGAGAATGCTCTTAGATGCAAAGCCTCCAATCCCCTATCTGTGCCCTGACAAACAAGCCCACCTACAGATGTCCCTAGCAGGCTTTTGCTTGGGGAGGACAACTCAACTGATAGCTACAGTGAACTGATGGATTTTAGCTAAGAACGAGAAATAGTTTCTTGTGCTCCAGAGATCAAATAGCTGTCATATTTCTTCTTCTATAAGGCTTGCAAACAAATGCAAAAACTTGACCTAAGGAAGACTTTTTTATTTTTAGTACTGTATGTTAGAGCATGGAGGTGAGTGTAAATTGATATTTAGCAGGTAGATGATTGTCATCCTTGCTTTGGGGTTACACTGGAACATTTACCACCAAAAAGCATATAGTATTTACACCTGCATAGTTAAAAATTCAAACAGGGGTTTTCCTCTCCTGGGAGTGGTAAGTGTACTTAGCAGAGAGGCCCACCCTGCTAGCACTTTTTCCCACTCTGCACATTTGAAAACTGAGTTTGTTCAAATGAATCGCCCCAAAAACATCCTGACTTCATGGTCTATAATTGAGGGCCTTTGCCGAGTGTCCCCGCTTTGTAGCTTGGGTGTCACTGCTGTTGGCTATTTATATACAAAGCTGTGCACAGAGCAGGCAGAGCCGAGAATAGCTTTCACTTAAAATACCAGCCTCAGCAGACATCATCAATTACACCATGTGCTGCTCAATAAAAATTGGAGGTTACTATATCAGCTTTGACAACACTCGGTGAAACATAAACCACAGGCAGTGGAGATGTGCAGCATTTCATCTTCCAGAAACGAGGAGAATGGCTGAGCTCCTGTGGAAAGGAGACGTTCTTTCCTCTCCTAAGCTGAAAGAATCAAATAGTTAAAGTCGGCAATTGGAGAAAACATGCTTTGTAGAAATGGAACTTGTGGAAAAATTTTTCAGAATTCTAATGACAAATATGGGCTGGGATAGGGTGGGCGGGGCTTCACGATGAAGGTGGTCAGGACTGGGCTTGAGATGTAAGTGGACTGAAAAGAAGGCAGGCCTGGCCTGTGGATTCTAGTGATTTGGGACAGATTCTGAAGAGCATTCTTTACCATTCTACAATTTTTTCTTGGGAGTGGGGAGCCATAGAAAGTTGTTGAGGAGAATGACATTATGAGGCCATATTTTTAAAGATTATGTTTGGTGATTTAATAGCTGTGATTAGGAGCCCCTAAACATACTTTCTCAGTGATGTTTACACCTTTAGGACTCAAGTAGCTTCTCTGTGTTATCATTGTTTTAGACTCCTGGGCTCTTGGTGTTGTGCAGGTCAGCAGACTTAACAGCTTAGCACTCAAGCTTGAGCTCTGAAATGCCTCTGTAGCTTCTGATTTTAGGTGTTGGCATGAATAGTTAGGAGACTCCAAGTATTCAAGAAATAGTCATTGAGCTATAATTGTTCTCTGCCTGCAGTTATTTACTGAGCTTTGAACAGGGCTGCATGGATCTAGCACCTATCATCATGTAGCTGACTCCAGAGACGCTGGAATAAAAGCACCTCACCTGGTCCTCTGAAACTCCAAATCATTAATTCTGCTTAGTGGAATATAGCAGCCATCAATTTCTGTTTTCCCAAAGGAAATCTTTGCAAGGTTAGGGCAAAGAAGCATACTCAATTTGTCTTCTAAAGATTCAATGCCATATATGCTCACGGAAGGGATAGACAAGAGTTCAGAACTGAAGAGAGCAATTATTCAGGCAAGAAGTTTTGTCTCCCTGTCTATCTGTCTGTCTCTCTCTCTCTTTCTTTTTTTCTTTCTTCCTGGATCAAACTCATGACCTTGTGCTTGCCAAGCAGGCGCTTGTGCCGCTGAGCTAAACCCCCAGCCTTCAGGCAAGAAATTTTCTTTTTGATGTCTGCAAAGAAAGACATCCTGTAGAGAAAGCTAGGTAGGGTGCACAGTGGTAAGAGCTCTGGGCAGAGACGGACAGGCTTCTTATCTTCCATAGTAAGGGGAGGAAGGGGCCCATAATGGGCCTTGCAGGAGGCTGGCAAGAGCTCCACAGTGATTCCAGAGCCAACAGTGCCCTTGCTACTTTCCCCTTAGCAGCCCCTCCGCCTAAGGCCCCTGGGAGCATGTGTATTACTGCTTATCAAGTGAACCTGGTCCAACAACTGCTTCCCAAAGAAAACAACCTCTTGGTGAGTGCCTACGGGATGCCCATGGACTCTGATCTTCTGTGGGAGATTCACAATGTTCGTTAGCAATGTAAAAGAATAAATTCTGAGGATTCTGTCAGCAGAAGGGCTTATTTAATGTACCATTTTGTTTCTTTGCCTTTGATCATCTATTTTTATTTTTATGGTTTCACTAAACACCTCTCAGGTGCCCAGCAGAGTAGTGTGTTCTAGGGGATACATTTTAGTGCATGTAAGTCAGAGTCTTGAAGTCTGGAGTCAGACTTTCCAAGTTTTAAACATGACTGCCAGTTATTTCCTGTGTGCCTCTGGGCAAGTTGTTTAACTTTTCTGATTTTAAGGCTGCCTAACTGTAAATGCAATAATAATACTTTGAACACTAGCGTTCAAAAGGTTTCTTTCTTTTCTTTTTCTTTCTCTCTCTCTCTCTGTGTCTGTCTCTCTCTGTCTCTTTCTTTCTTTCTCCTTTTACTAATTTCTGGTAGCCCTCAGTGTCATGAAGCTTTGAGTCTCTGGGTAAACTGGTGGTGGCCTGTCACACTCTAGGTGAGTGCCTGTAGTGCCCTGCCCGAGGACCCTGTTAGTAGAGCTGAAGGGGTTTGGCTCACAATGTGTTGCTGATTTCTTCATTCTGTGCATAGCAATTGCTTGATGTTTAACCCCACTGAACTGGGTAATAGGGGCAGCACTGTGGAAGACCTCTTAGAGGGGCACCCATGGTTACCAGTCCTGAGACTACTGAGGCAGGGGCTGAGTGTGTGTGCTAAGGGGGCTACAGGCAAGAGCCTGCACTGGTTCTGATGGGGAGGAAGGCAGGTGGGTCCTGGTAACTGGGACATCTAAAAGATATCAAGAGTTGCAGATGACATAGCTGTGCTGTAGTTGAATGGATTTTTTTTTTGCCTCAATTTATGATTGCACATTCTGTGCCTTTGACTGGATAACAGTCACCTTTATTCCACCAACAGAGGTGTTGTCCCGTTTTCTCCTTTCCCTCCAAGGGCTTAATAGGAAGGTTATGCAGAGGGCTCAGAAGGGAAAGAAAGGTACAAATGTATTGAATCACAATATTGCTATAAACAGTGACAGGTATTACTTTGAGGATTCACAGAATGCAGAATAAACAAAACACGAGTGGATTCTAACAAATTATTTCAAACTTCCCATTAGTCTGTTTTGAAAAAGAAACCTGAAGCTTACTTGAAATATTTTTGCTGAATAAGAAAAATTTGCTATTGTTGCACTGGGGGATTGGAAGGCAATTTATGTATACAATCTTCCTTCCTTTAGAGCGGCATTCTGATCACATGAAAATATTCCAAAGTGATGGCATACAGATGAATTTAGGTTCTCTACTGTAGCCATGGACAACTTTGGAAACAACCCACTGATTTACTTTCTGTGAAG